TACTTTTCTTGTTGTTATTAAGGGGCTATCATTTCATAAGGCAGTTCGGAGTACAGTTTCTTTTGGACAGTGTCACCCCTTCCTTCACTTTCTCCATTTCCCCTTCCTGTCTCTGCCTATAAGTTGCATAGTTAGGTTTCCACACAGTGTTTCCTGAATGCCAGGACTCTATTTGGAGCACTGGAAGAATATACATAAAAACCAGAATTGGGAATGTGGCTCAGTGGTAGATATGCACAAAGCCCTGGGTTTGATCCCAGCACTAAAAAAAGAGTGTATATGTACTTAAATAAATATAATACATAATAAAAATACAAACCACAGTAATACTGATTTATTAAAAGTCCTGGAATATGACTAAAGAATCATTTAAATTCATAGTAATAGATGCTTGTTCTTGTTTTGTTTTGTTTCTGTTATTTTATTTTATTTTATTATTTTTGTCGGTCGTGGGGCCTAGGCATTGTCCCTGAGTTCTTCAGCTCAAGTGATAGACTTGAGCCATAGTGCCATTTCCCATTTTCTGAATGGTTTATTGGAGATAAGAGTCTCACGGACTATCCTGCTCAGGCTGGCTTTGAACCGGGATCCTCGGATCTCAGCCTCCTAAGTAGCTAGGATTATTGGCGTGAGCCACCAGCACTCAGCTTGTTTCTCTATTTCTTTTATGCTGGTTCTGAAGCTTGAACTCAGGCACTGGGTGATAACCTTAAATGTTTTTGTTTTGCATTTTACTTTAAGCTAATGCTCTATCACCTAAGCAACAGCTCTAAGTCTGGATTTTTTGGTGTTATTTGGAGAGGAGAGTCTCATGGACTTTCCTGCTCAGCTTGGCTTAGAACTTCAATCCTCAGATCTCAGCCTCTTGAGTAGGAAGGCTGAAAGATTTGAGTCAGTGGCACTAGCCTGGCTAAATACTTGCTCTGTGTGTGTGTGTGTGTGTGTGTGTGTGTGTGTGTGTGTGTGTGTGTGGTTTTTGGCATTTGAACTCAGGGCCTTTCACTATCACTTGCATTGTTTTATTCTTTCTTGGTCTGGGGCTTGAACTCAGCCTGGGCGCTGTCCCTCAGCTTTTCAGCACAAAGCTAGCACTCTACCACTTAAGCCACAGCACCACTTCCAGTTTTCTGGTGGTTAATTGGAGATAAGAGTCTCACAGACTTTCCTACCTGGCTGGCTTTGAACCTTGATCCTCAGATCTCAGCCCACTGAGCAGCTAGGATTACAGGCATGAGCCCCTGGCACCCGGTTGTAACTTGCATTTTTGCTCAAGGCTAGCACTCTACCACTTGAACAATCCTCCCACTTCTAGTTTTTCACTGATTTATTGAAGATATGAATCTCTCTTCTGGGCACAGCATTTCTATCTATACAAAATGAGCATGCCAACTGTTATTGTAGTGTGGGGGTATAAGAGAGCGAGGGTAATTAATACATGTAAAATGCTAGGCCACGGTGCAAGTGCCCATGTACAGTGGATAAGAGACACGGAGACCTGGGGAGGGAGGGGTGGGAGAGGTGTTCTGGGGAGGGAAAAGGGGAGATTGAAGGTAGAGCTACAGGTGATGGTGTGGGGTTACAGCGGGCCCAGAGACCAAGGAAACCACCCATCAGACACCTGCAGTATGTTCTGGGCTGAGTTCAGGACTGTGGGAAGAGCAAGATTGGATGCAGATAGCACAAAATGAAGGCAGGATACTTCTAGCAAAGTCAAATGAATCTGCAAGTCAGGGAACACACAGGGCTGGAGGCCTAATATTAAAGTTAGAAGTTGGATGATTGTGGCAGGGCTGAAGCCCAGGGTGTGGGATTGGGGTGAATCTCAGGGGCCACTGGAAGGCAAAGAGGAGGGGAAGCAGCATCTGTTTGGGGATGGTTATTGGGAAAGGCAATCAAAGAATGATATTGGCAGGGTCCTGAGAAGAGGTCAGAGATAAGGGAGAGGAAGTAAGATTTGAAGTGTGAGGACTGAGGGGATGTGGAGCTGGGGAAGGGGCTCACCTTCAGTGATGGTGAGTTTGGTCCCTTCGGTGGACTGCCACCGCTGCTCACCCATTTCCTTTGTCTTCAGATGGATGCGGCAGAAGTACATGTTCTCGTCCTCCTTCCGAAGGTTCAAAATGGACAGGGAGCCTGAGGTCCTGTTCTTTGTGAGGTTCAGGACCAGCCGGTTCTTGAAATGCTTATGGATGAAAGGTGGGGTCGTGTTGTAGATGAACTCCCCGTAGAACCACACCCATCTCCAAAACAGCTTCACCTCGGGATCCCGGGGCAGCTCCCAGGGGTGGAAGAAGCTGAAAGGGATTTCGATGGAGCCTCCCACAATGGCAGAGAGGTGTTTCGGCTGGGTCATGGCAATGCTGTCTGTGAGGAAGGGGAAGGAATGTGAAGCAAGGCCCTGCCAGAGGGGAGGCAGAGACGAACCCCAGATGCTCCTGCACCTGCATTCCCAGGGTTTGGTGGGACAGATGGCAGGGTTGACACTCTCCAGGCTTGGGAGAGGAAAGTGGCTGAAGGGTTGGTCCTGGCCACCTCCTCCCACACAGCCCTCTGCACATGCCCAGCCCCCAGGCTCCCTGTGGCTTGATGGTTGTGGCCACTCACCAGCTGTCAGGACTCCTGCAGGCAGTAGCAGCAGTGCCACCAGGACCCACCTCATGGCTGGTCTCCTCTGGGGAGAGGAGGCCTGCTGAGTGCCACAGCCGGAAAGGAGGCCCTGACAGAGCCTGGGGGCTTGCACAAGTGGGGTGAGTGTCACATGGCGATTCTGAGTCAGACTTCTTTTCCCAGGGCTGAGGGAGGTTGTTTACTTTCCCATCTCCTCTTCCTTGTGACCTACAACTTCCTTTACCATGTGGCTTCTCCTTTTCTTAGAGGGCAGAAGGGCCTCTTTTGTGGTCACAGTCCTCCAGCCTCCACCTCCCATTTGGTGCTGAGAGACTCACCTTGCCCTTGGCCTCACCTGTCCCGTCTTGACCACCTGCCTTGTCTGATCCTTCACCATGGCCTGTGCAGTCTCCACTTCCCCTTCTCATCCTTCTCTCCACCCTTTTTCCCCCTTCCCCTGCCTCCCCATCTCTGGGTGCCTCTGTCCTTGACTCTTGTCCCCCAGGCTCTCCTCCCAGGGGAAGGGGCTGCCCCAGGCCAGCACTGGCTCTTTCAGAGAGAGGAAGGCGGGCAAGAGTTTTTGCTCACCTCAGCTTCCAGACTCAGGTCTTAGAATGGAATATGAAGATGATAGCCCTGGACCCACTGGAATACCAAGCCCCACTGGTGTATGCTTTTCCTTGTCTTTCCCCCAGGTTGGATCATGGCCCTGTAGTAGCCAGGAAAAACCAAGATGTGGGCATCCTGGTCGGCCCCCTGGTGACTGACTGGCTGCCACCTTCCTTGGGTGCAGAGATGACACTCAGTGACTTCGGGTGTCACGCTGCCCTGCTGGCACCTTTGTGCCCTCCTGCCAGCCCATGTAAGTGTCACAGGATGGGTTTGGTTCTGGACTTCAGGATCCACTTTAGTCTCTTCTGCTGAGTTGAGGCTCTGGCCTGGCTGCATGGCACAGTCTCTGGAAGCCAACGTTGGAATACCAAAGTTCCAGCAGTGGGGACCCCAGGTCGTCCCCAGGACCTAGCTTGGATTGGGGGCAAAGAAGATTCAGAGCAGCAACGAGTCACACATTTCCTAGTCCATGGCACACTCTGACACAAATGAGAGGAGAGGGTGGAGGTTTGGTGATTCACAGGCTGGTTCTGTGGGAGTCTGTGCCCACCTGTGCCCAGGAGGAGCCTGGTGTCAGCTTTTTTTTTTTGGTTAGTTGTGGGGCTTGAACTCTGGGCCTGGGCACTGTCCCTCAGCTCTTCAGCTCCAGGCTAGCACTCTACCATTTGAGACACAATGCCTCTTTCGCTTTTCTGGTGATTTATTGGAGATAAGAGTCTCACGGACTTTTCTGCCCAGGGTTGCCTTTGAACTGCAATCCTCATATCTCAGCCTCCTGAGTAGCTGGGATTACAGGCGTGAGTCACCGGCACCTGGCTCTAGTGTCCTCACCCTGCCATCACTGTGTGCAGAGGGTGACTTCCTTTTTTCCTCAACTTCCCCTTAATCCTTGCTTCCTCTTCTGTGCTGCCCCACCCATTCTGGTCAGGCCATCCCTGCTTTCCCTCTTCATGTGCTTTGCTTTTTCTACCCCGATTCCACAGGTCAGATGTTCCAGGACCCCTGCAGCCTTGCTGGTCTCCAAACCCCCACTTCTTTGTTCTCAGTTTCCCAACATTTTTGGAAGGAACATGTTTCTGTTAGGTTTTTAAAAAGAGGTAGCCGAGTTAAGAACTGCAGCTGCACGCACGTGGTATTCAGGTAAGGGGTAGGTTTATTCAGTAGACCTGCTGGGACCAGGCAAGGGTGGCACTCCACGTGGCTGGGAAAGGCCTGGGAATGAGAGAGAGCTGGGAAAGAGAGGAAAGAGCTAGAAAAGAGCAGAAAGAGGGGTAAGAACAGTAGCACTCACGTGGTATTCAGGTAAGGGGTAGGTTTATTCAGTAGACCTGCTGGGACCAGGCAAGGGTAGCACTCCACGTGGCTGGGAAAGAGAGGAGAGAGAGAAGAAAGAGCTAGAGCAGAGAGAGCTAGAAAAGAAGAGCAAGAGCAAGAGCAAAAGAGCTAGAAAAGAAGAGCAAGAGAGCATCTGGGCCTGGGCTAGGCCTTATGTACGGTATGGGCGGGGAAAGGTATGGCCACATCAAATTCAGATGTGACCTCAGCGGATGCAGATGTGACCTCTTCCAGGTGTCCCAGTTGCCTAGGTAACGCAGGTACTGGGTGGAGACTTTGCTGAGAGGAGGGTGGAGTCTGCTAGCCATCCAGGAGTGGACCTTACAGTTTCCACTGGGGAAACTGAGGCACTGGGCCTTTGGGCTGAATTGGTCCCTGATGAGAAGGTAGTCACCAGAGAGGGCACAGGGCCTCTGGGAAGGGGCCGGGCGGTCTGGCAGCCACCCTCAGAGTTGCATTCTGGCCTTGTGCAAGTCATCTACCAGATTGCAGAAGGGTGGGCCCAAGGAGGGGCCAGCTATGGGCCACACACTGTGCTCATAGGAAGGTCCACACTGCCCCCTGCAGTGTGCAATCTCACCAGCAGCAGTGTGGGGAGGTGATTTATCTGGGCCTGAGAGGCACTTGAGGCTCCGGTGCTCGCATGGTCCTGGGGAGAGGCAGATTTGGAGGCTCAGGTGGGATTCATGGTCCATATTATGAGAGCATCTGTGTCCTCCCTCACTGGCATCCAGATCACCTGCTCAAGGCCGAGCTGTATTCTTTTATTTTCTTTTAATGCAGTCCAGGGCTGAGGCCCTGGGAACAGTGCACATGGCAATGGTTGAGCCTCTGGTGCCAGGATCTTACACACCTTGGCCATGGTGGCCCCCAGGCTCCAGGCTGGCACAGCTGGGCCCCTGGGAGGGAGACTCTGGCTGGCAGGCATGGGGTGGAGGAGGCCTGGGGCTGGAGCTGGTGGAGGCTGGCCATGAGGACTGACCAGGCTGCCAGTCTGTGTAGTGTGGACAGGGATCACTGGCGTCCAGACTCAGGCTTGGTATTTGGCTGGAGGGGGGTAGAAAAGGGAGGGGCTGTGGGGCTGGGGCTGGGGTCAGGGAGCAGAGAGGGGACTGAGGTTGAGGGTCGAGGTCTGTGATCAGGGGCAGCAGGGGCTGAGGTCCAGGGAGGAGGGCTGAGGTCAGGGCGGGGCTACTGGGGGTGGGGGAGGAGTCAGGGCCTGTGTTGAGGCCAGGGTCTGATGTCAGGGGCAGGGGGGTCCTCTCCATGGGGTCCGAAGTAACATAGTGGAGGTGCAGCCACCACCCGCTGCCACTAAGGGCCACACTGTCCCCTGCACTCAGTGCTGCTCACACCTGGAGGCCTTCCTTCCCCTGAGAGCCTCACCTCCTCCCCTGGGCTCTGGGACCCCTGAGTGCCCCTCCTTTGTTCCAGAACAGCTGGAAAATGCCTAGTTCTGGCCAGGCCTAAGCAAGTCAGCCTAAGCAGAATGGCTCAATACCAGGGAGTCCTCTGGCTTGCAGATCCGTAGGCCCTTTGCCCTTCTTAGGTACCCTACCCGCAAAGGGAGAGAGGCCACTGAATGCCCCCCATCCATCTTCCCTGTCCATGCCACACCAAGACATGCCTCCCCTTGTACTAATTTTAATGAAAAGTCTATTTTATCAGACACCAATATGGCTACTCCTGTCTTCTTGCAGGGTGCATTTGCATGGAAGATCCTTTTCATCCCTTCTCTCAGTGTTTGTGCACATGCGTGCATGTGCTTCATAGGTCCAGACAGGTGAGCAATCCACCAGCAGCTGGGCACTTAGGCCTGTCTGCTGCGGAGGGCTGGGGAGACCAACCTCAGCTCTCCAGGGTGGGTGTGAGGCTTCAGAAGGGGTGGGATCCCACAGCTGCTCAGGCTTTTGTCTGTGTTGTTTCAAACAGGCCCAGTCTCCCTACTGCTACCAGGGCTGTGGCAAATGCAGGGTCATAGCACACCTTCAGTATGAGTCTACCAACCGGTGAGGTGGGGGTGAGGAAGGGCTCTGGACTCTGTCTTCTTCGAATGTGGTGCCTCTTCTTGGGTGGGAGGGAGGAGCTTGGGCCAAGTTCAGTGGGTCATCACCAGCTTTGGTCTCCCTTGAGGAGGGGTAGGGGGTGATTCAGGTCTACAGGAGGGTCCTCACTGATCCTGGAATTAGTTGTGCCCGTGAGGCAATCCATCAAGGCAAGGTTCAAGATAAGAAAAGAATTTTTACTTACATTATTTACACCAGAAAAGGAGTTACACTACCTTGTCCTGGGCTAGCTACCCAGAGCCAAGAGCAGCCTCGACCCCCAAACCTCCAAGCCTCCAAGGGCAGCCCAGACCTTTATTAGTTGGTCTGCAACCCTCCGTGTGCAAACCTCCAACCCCAGACCTCCAAAGCTCCAGAGCTCCAAAGGGGAAGGCTTTTTCTCTCTACTCTGCTCTGGTAAAGGCCTCTGCACCAGACTAGTAGTCACCTCTTGCTGTCTTTCTCCCCACTCTCTGTAGTCACCCCCTGACCTGGGAACATGAAGCCTATATATGGCTGCGCCCCTCCCCCACACCAGTGGCTCTGATGGTTTCAAGTGCCCCTCCCCCAAGCTGCCCTCTGTCCAGCCCCTCCTTGATAGCTCCTGACAGGGGCCCAGTGGGGCGGTGAGGTCAGCCTCCCAGCTCCACACCCCCAGCAGCCCAGCCCTTGAGCGGTGACATCAGCATGGGGAGGTCCTTGGCCCCAAGTCTCCAGGTCTGGGTGTTGCCGTGTCTGTCCCTTGCTGTGCTGTCGGGGTCCTGTACTAACCCGTGCGACCCCGATAATCAGAGGGGTCCAAGAGTCAGCATGGCCCTGTGGCCTGATGGAGAGGGCGGGGCATCAAGAGGCGGCCCTTAGCGCTCTCCACACCCCGCCACTGGACAGAACAGGGCTTTGAGAGGCGTGCCTCCGGAGGGGCGTGCCACGCCGCCGAAAGAGGGCGTGGCGTGCCGCTGAAGAGGGCGTGGCATGTCACTGGAGGGGTGGGACGTCCAGCTCCACATGGAGAGCTGTCAGAAAGTGATTGGGCAGAGGGCAGCTTGGGGGAGGAGCATGAATGGCAGTTGGAAAACCGTTAGGAAAAAAAACGTTAGGGAGAAAACAGTGTGGAGGAAGGAGAGGAGGGAGAGCCGGCAGGAGGGGAAGCCTGCCGGAGCAGAGCAGGGCAGGCCTGTGGAGGGCGGAGAGGCCTGCAGTGGAGGAGGAAGGGAAGAAAGGGAAAAGCCTTCCCCTTTGGGGGTTTGGAGCTTTGGAGGCCAGAGGTTTGGAGGTTTGCAGACCATCTAATAAAGGTCAAGGGGTCAGGACTGCCTATTGGAGGTTGGAGGTTGGAGGTCGAGGCTGCTCTTGGCTCTGGGTATCTAGCCCAGGACAAGACCCCTTTCTGGTGTAAATAGGGTAAATAAACATCTTATGTTCACCTCTCACTGGGCCTCGATGGACTGTCTCGCTCTCCAGAGGTCATAAGTGTCCAGCACTGCATGGGTTTTCTGCGTCTGGATGCTGCAGTCCCATTGGAGTTCCAGGCAGCTACTGGGCCACGTTCACAGCTCAGCCCTGCTGCCAGCAAGGGACAGGGGGATGGAGGAGGGTCTGCGGTTTTCCATCCTTCTGTGTACAAGGTATGCGTTCTCTCCGTTCCTGTGATTCTATGCTTGTCCATATCTTCGTTGTTGTTGATCTCTTGGGGAGAAGTGTGTATTAGCACCCCAAGTCTCTTTTTGGTGAGAGAGCTAGGGTGATTCCCTATTGTTCACTGTCATCCTCTTCCCCATTCCCTCTTCCTAAAGGCCTCAGAGCTGCTTACCTTGGGGCTCTGTATGTTGTCCTAGGGGAAAGAGAGAGAGAGAATGAGAGAATATTGAGGTGTAACAAGACAGCATGGATGGCAAGGGACGCCAGAGGGGGGGCAGCTGCCAGGTGAAGGCCAGAGTCACATGGGGCAGATGAGGTGAAGAATAGGAGAGGGGAAAGGACTGAAAGGGAGGGGCAGTGTGCATATGTAGAGAGGGGTGTGTGCAGAAGAATGAAGGGCCAGGAGTAGAAATGGGGAAGTGCCCGAGCCTGCCAGCAACGAAAGGGAATTCTGAATTAGGGGGCGGGGACGAGAAAAATAAAGACATAGGACAAAGGATGGGGTCGGGAGGTCTGCAGCTCAAGACTGCAGCACCATTTATTTTTAACTTTCCCTAATATATACTATTAGAAGTCAAGAGGTAACATAAGGTTACAATAGTCCAGAAAAACAAGGAAAATTTCAGTAAAAACAGAGTGCAGTAAAAACAAGACAAGGTCAACTGGTAGAAAGTAAAACAAACTCTGCAGACATAGCAAAGCAATCCCGGGCACCTGGTGTTTTTTAAGTAAGCCAGCTCCTTGTATGTGCCTTCAAGTGAGCACAGGGGTCAAGATGACTTTAGAGCTTTACTGTCGGCTCCCAACAGGGAAGGAGTGGTATAAGACTTACTTTTATAGCCAATATTTTCATATTTCTCTTCAGTGTCTTGGGAGACTTCCCTGCAGGGGCACAGGAGGATGGGAAGGATATCAGAGGCTAGTCATGAGTGAGTTCAGTCATATGAGAGGGGCTGATTCCATTTGAGGGGGTGTCTGCCACCTGCCCTGACACACTCATTGCGAACCCAATGGTGTTCAGAACGAGGCTGCCTGAAAGGTGAATGAGGGGAAGCCCTTGGCAGCATGGCCATGAACTTGGCCCTCAGCACTACTGGAAACTGCTTTGTGGCAGTGTGTGGGGACACTGGAGAAATGTGAGGTGCCAACCCTGCTTGTGTCTGAATGCATTGCCCTGCCAAAAGTGGGAGAAAATACACACACACACACACACACACACACACACACACACACTACTTAGTTTTAGGGCCTTTGATCAAGTAGGCAGGGTGGGTCTCTGGAAGGAGACTGGAAGAAGGGCTTCCTGCCAAAGAAGGCACAGGGCAGGGAGAGGAAGGATGGAGGGAGGCTTTGAGTAGGAAACGTGTGACATTTGTGTGTGTGTGTGTGTGTGTGTGTGTGTGTGTGTGTGTACGTATTAGGGATTAAGTTTAGGACCTATGTCCTTGCTTGCCTTTTTCATATTTCCAAGTTGCTGGGACTAAATATGTGACTTGCTCTTCCAGTTGAAACGAAACCATGTTAGCCACACCTGAACTTGCAGCTTTTGGCTTTTGGATGGTTAATTGAATGTGGATGCTGCTGGCTCACACCTGTAATCCTAGGTGTTTAGGAGGCTGAGATATGAGGATCGAAGTTCAAAGCTAACATAGGCAGGAAAGTTTGTGAAACTCTTATCTCCAATGAATCACCAAAAAACTGGAAGTAGTACTGTGGCTCAAGTGGTAGAGCACTAACCTTCAGCAAAAGAGTTTGGGGACAGGGCTGGGAATATGGTTTAGTGGTAGAGTGCTTGCCTAGCATGCATGAAATCCTGGATTCGATTCCTCAATACCACATAAACAGAAATCAGAAGTGGTACTGTGGCTCAAGTGATAGTGTGTTAACCTTGAGCAAAAGAAGCTCAGGTACTGTACCCAGGTTTTGAGTTCAATACCCAGGACTGGCAAAAAAAAAAAAAGAGTATAGGCACAATGCCTAGGCCCTGAGTTCAAGCTCCACCACTGATCCCCCAAAAAGTCTCTTCAATTCATGATCCTCAGCTAATAAGAAAAGGCAAGAGGAAAGGAAGGAGAGATGAGAGGGTAGAAAAAAAAAAAGAGAGATGGAGGAGCTGGAGCAGAAGATGCCTAGGGGCCATGGCACGTTCACCAGGGGAAAGGATATGGGACAGAAAAAGAAAAGTATAGGAGAGAATGATTGGGCTGGGGATGTGGCTGAAGTGTTAGAGCATCTGACTATCAAGCTCAGCTCCCTGAGTTTAATCCCCAGGTACAGCCTCGACTCTAAAAAGACAAGAGAGTAAGATACACAAAGGAAGATGATTAAGGCTGAGAGGAAAACAGATAAACAGAAACTCAGAGACTGGGAGGACGGCAGGAAAGAGGAACCAAAGAGAGCCACTTGCTGGTAAAGAAGAGACTGAAACTCGATGTTGGTCTCATTGTTAGGGGATGGAGCCTGCAGGGTGAGGAGACTGGAGCAGTAGGGTACAAGGCTGGACACTGAATAGGTGAGTCATGAGCCTCTGAGAAAGGCCCCTGTGTGTTTCTTTTTTCTTTTCCTTTTTTAAATTTAGTTACTTGGCTAACAATAAATGCAATTTCATGAACTTATTATTTGCCATATATTTACAGATTCTTATCCATTTTCCTTAAAAGACCTATAAACCTCAGCAAGAAACAATTCTACATGAAAATGTCCAAAGCAAATGTAAAATACTTTTCAGTAATCTACAACTGCTAATGTTATTTTTCGTTCTTATATTACATCATTGAATAGGTAGCAAAGATTTTCCTCATAAAAGAGAAGTAGGAGATATCTGTGTGCTGTAAACAGAGCACAGTGAAAAACAATCTTTTTCAAAATGCTTTGGTCATTTTTATGGGCTTCATTGTGGGTTGCTAATATGCCCCTATTTTTGTTTTTCTATCCTTATTTTGCTTTTTTACATGATCTTTAATTAGTCAAACAAAGGGATTTCAGTTCAACATGTCAGTTTTTGAACACAATGCATCTTGACCAATATGTTCTCTCTCTCTCTCTCTCTCTCTCTCTCTCTCTCTATATATATATATATATATATATATATATATATATATATCTTTTTCCTACTCTGGGCTTGAACTCAGGGCCTAGGCCCTGTCCCTGAGCTTTTCTGCTTAAGGCTTGTTCTCTACCACTTGAACCATAGCTCCACTCCCAGCTTGGTGGTTATTTGGCAAAAAGTGTGTCAGGGTCTTTTCTAACCCAGGCTCTCTTCAAACCATGATCCTCAGATCTCAACCTTCTGAATAGTTAGAATTACAGGCCATGAGGCATGGGTGCTCAGATAAAATCTCTCTCTTATTAGTGCATGTGAATTGTACAAAGTAATAGGTTGCACTGTGATATTTTCCTATTTGTTCTTATAGGGAAACTTGTAAAGAAACCCCCCAAACCAGCACCTCTGTCTCACTCACCCTGCCTCCTTGGGAGGACAAATACTCACCCTGCTGGGGATTGTAGTTGTTTGGCCTGTAGAAGAAGCAACATGATGTCAGTATGACTTCCTTGTGATTCTCTGTCACTTTCTTAATTCTGTCCTATGTTCAGACCAGCCTTGAGGGAAATGGAGGAATGGAGATGCTCTGCCCCAGCCAGTCAGGGCAGTAAGTGAGGCTAGCCATACTTGTCCTCTTGTCCTCTACTGCAAGTCCTAAGACAAGCCCTTCTGGGGCCATCCATCACCTTTTCATCCTTGTCTCCCTACCCTCTTTTTTGTTGGTCTTAGGGCTTAAACTCAGGGTCTGGACATTGTCCCGTCTGGTTGCTCAAGGCTAGTGCTCTACCACTGTGAGGCATAGCTCCACTTCCAGTTTTCTGGTGGGTAACTGGAGATAAGAGTCTTGGGGACTTTCTTGCCCAGCCTGGCTTTCAACCTCAGATCTGAGCCTCGTGAATAGCTAGAATTACAGTCATGCGCTACTACCCCAGGCCCAGCCCTTTCCCTTTCTCTCTTAATTTCTCCCCTACTTGACCTCCCTTCTCAGCTTTACCCTCCACTTTCCTCCTTTTCCTTTCTCTGCACTCACCCCATCTGTTTCCACGCCCTCACCCAACATGGCTTTCCTTCTGAATATTGGCTATTTCTAGTCCCAGAGATTGAATTCATGGTTGGAATCCTGTTCAGATTTCTGCTGCTTTCCTGGGCCATTTCTCACCCCTCAGCTGTTCTTCTTCTTTCCTTATTAGGAGTCTTGGCACCTTCTATTCTTTTTCTTTTTGTTTCTGTCAGTGTTGGGGCTTGAACTCAGTGCCTAGGTGCCTAAACTGTTTTATTTTGTTTTGTTTTTGTCAGGAATGGGGCTTGAATCTGGGCCCAAGCGCTGTCCTGAACTCTTCAGCTCAAGGTGATCGCACTACTACTTGAGCCACAGAGCCACTTCTGGTTTTCTGGTGGTTTATTGGAGATAAGAGTCTCATAGACTTTCCTTCTTGGGCTGGCTTTGAACCATGATCCTTAGATCTCAGCCTCCTGAGTAGCTACGATTACAGGCGAGAGCCACAGGTGCCCCGCTGCCTGAACTGTTTTGCTGAAGCCTAGTGTGCTACCACTTTTAGCCTCAGTTCAGTTTTCTGATGGGTAACTGGAGAGAAGAGTCTCACGGACTTTCCTTCCCAAGCTGGCTTTGAACCAGGTCTCAGACTCCTGAGTAGCTAGAATTATAAGTGTGAGCCACAATGCCCAGCATGCACGCTTCTAGAAGACCACTTATTTGGCTGTACTTGACAGTTTACTTCAGGATGTGCTGTGTTCCAGCCAACCATCCATTTGTCTGTCTTTGTGCGAGTACTGTGTTGTTTTGCTCAGTGTAGCTTTGAGAACTTTTTATGAACTCAAGCAGTACAAGTCCTCCATAATTGGCTATGAATTTCAGAAGATGAATTATTCATTTTTGATTTTTTTGAATTATTCATTTTTGAAAAAAGAGTCATTGTGCAAAAAGATTAAGTATGATGCCCATGCCCTGAGTTCAAGCCCCATGATCAGATTTCATTTCAGACTTTGATCTGAGTTGCATTAAATCTGTAGCTTGGGGGCTGGGAAGGTGGCTCAGTGGTAGAGAGCTTGCCTTGATTGCAAGAGGCCCTGGGTTCAATTTCTTAGCACCACATAAGCAGAAAAAGCCAGTAGTGGCGCTGTGGCTCAAGTGGTAGAGTGCTAGCCTTGAGCTGAATTGCTGAGGGACAGCACCCAGGCCTAGAGTTCAGGCCCCATGACTGACCAAAAAAAAAAATCTGTAGATTGCTTTGAATAGTGCATACATCTTGTTTTATTCTTCTAGTCAACAATATGAAATTTTTCCATTTTTTTGTGTCTTTAATTTCTTTCAATATTGTTTATGTCTTGGTATTAGTGGGTAAATCCTTCATTTTCTTTGTTTCTGTAAGATCTGCTCCTGGAAGGTGGGCAGACTCCCCCCTCCTCTCGGCTAAGTCTCTACCCAATACCTGTGTCACCTAGGTAACTGGCATACCTGGAGGTCACCTTCTTGGCTGCCCCCAGTCATGCTTCCCATTGGACCAAGGGAGGATCCCAGGCCTCCAGGCCACATATGCATCTAGTGTGGCAACACCTTCCCTCACCTGGCTGCACCTTCTCCCCTCTCCTTCCCTACTTAAACCCAGGTCAGACCTCAGCCTGCCCCTTTGGCCATATGGTCTCCATCTGGCATGGTGGGGGCAAGCAGCTCATTAAAATAAACTTCTCTACCTGCCTGAATAACTCCTGGTGTTCTCCTTACTATCTACCTAATTAAACCTAACATATTTAAATACCTAACATAAATGGTGCCATCTGAACTCAGGAAGGGTTTAAAGTCAGGATAGGCAGGATTCCTCTCCGTTTGTTTTGTTTTGTTTCTCTCTTTTTCTAGTTTTTCTCTGAGGACTATCCCCAGTTCTGACAGCCCTTTTCCCTCCAACTAAACTGTTGTGAGATGCCACGCTAGGCTTTTCACCAGTACCATTGCTGGCCTCCACATCTACGCTACACCATTTCTCTACTCTGGTGAGTGAACTACTCTACAAGTTCTCTGGTTTTCTGTTTGACTAGATGTGACACCACACCAGAAATCTCCTGGGCCTTTAGCTGAAAGGCCTGTCACCTCCCCAGCTGAGGACACTTGGTTTTGGGGGGTTTGACCATTTCTGCCTAGGGGGCGCTAGAGGATGTAGGATGCTCCTTCCATCCAGTAAGCTCTCCTTCACTCACCAGACTGACTCCCTCCAGTGCTTTTAATGGCATGCTGCAAGTCATGCCCTAGCCGGGACACTGAGTTGGAATGCCTCTTGCAATTGCAATGAGGCCTGGTCAAAATATTTTTGCCACTGCAACGGTAATGGTCAGAAATCTTTTTACTTTCAGGCTCTACTTTGCTCTTTCCCTCTTAATTTTCTTTTTCTTTCTTTCTTTCTCTCTCTCTCTCTCTCTTTTTCTCTCTCTCTCTCTTTCTTTCTTTCCTCTTTTGGCTTGGGCATGCAAAAGTGCAATGCAGGCTGGGTCCCAGGGACCGTCTTCTCCATTCTCTCTCTAAGGCTAGTCATTGTAGGTTTGAGACCATATCTAACATCAAAAGAAAAGTAACTGCTTAGAAATTTGGCCTTAATACTAATTGGATAATTGCAATCACTGGCCTAAATACAGTACTTTCTCTTTTCCTCTCTTCCTCTTCCTCTCTCTCTCCATCTATTGTCTGTCTGTCTGCTTGCTTGTGCTTACTTTATAAAACTCCAAGTCATACCATCCTGATAATGTGCCTTGCCAACAAAGTTGCCTCTTTTCACAGATCCTGGAAACTGAGGCCCAACCAGCTAATGTGCTTTATTAGCAAAGATGTCTAAACTTATTCTGTTGTCAAAAACGTTGGCTGTTGTGTTTTGCCTTGTATTTTGTTTGGCAACGCCTCTTCTGGCACTGACCATGTGGTTTTAAAATATTGGGCAAAATAATGTCATCTTACTGCTGGAATTCCAAGAGTCTATGGCTGTTATTCATGTTTGCATGCTGTAAAACTTATGTATACGGTGTGTGTGGTGTTTGTGGATGTGCGCGCATGCGGGCGTGTGCCTACATGTATTTATGGCTGTGTCTGAGAAAACTTGTTATCTGGCATTGTAATCAAGTTATTTGGCTTAGCAACATAAGTTTCTTGAAGACTTAGTTTTTTTTTTTATTTCAAATCTCCCCACTATTCAAGGTTTCTTTTTCTCTGTGTAACTTAATTTGGTCTCAATGTGTATAATTTAATTTGATCTCAATGTAAGTTGAAAAAGCCAAGGATAGCACCCAGGCCCATTCACCAGTCTGTAGAAATTTGCAGGTAACACAGAAGGAGGAGTGACAGTCCATCCAAGGGATGCAGCCTACCCCACATTCAATCCATCTCTTCCAACCTGGAAGATGGCCTCCCTTACTCCCACCTAGACCATGCTGACTACTTTTTTTTTGGGGGGGGGGACAGTGCAGTCGTGAGGCCTGAACTCTGGGCCTGAGTGCTGTCCCTCAGCTCTTTAGCTCAAGGCTAGCGCTCTACCACTTGAGCCACAGTGCCACTTCCGGCTTTTTTCTTTTTGCTTATGTGGTGCTAAGGAATCGAACCCAGGGCCTCATGCATGCAAGGCAAGTGCTCTACCACTGAGCCACCTTCCCAGCCCAATCCTCACTACTTCTAATGTGATAAAAAGTAGACTGGACTGCTGCCTGACTTCTTCACATGCAGCTGATTCCTGGTGGAAGACTGCTTTGGATTTGCAAAAGCTACTACTCTTGTGTGATGTTCTTTCTACAACTTGGTTAACTTAGGCATCATTAGGGTCACCAGAAAACAAAGGTGCAGGTAAGCGCTACTCACTTCTATTTGATCTCCTTGTTGCTTTAATTGGAAATAATAAAGGGTTTTTTTGTGGCAAAGATTGCAGTTCAAAGCCAGCCCGGGCAGAAAAATCTCTGAGACTCCATCTCCCAGTGAACCAGCAAAAAGGCAGGCTGGAAGCATGGCTCAAGAGACTCATTTCTAATTAACCAGCTAGATGCTGGAAATGGCACTGTGACTCAAAATGGTAGAGAGCTAGCCTCAAGCAGAAGTGCTTAGGGACAGTGCCCAGGCCTTGAGTTCAAAGCCTGTGAATGCCAACTGGGACAAGCTATCCCAGCCATGAACGCTGAGGGGACCCCACCACCACCTGCAAGGATGAAGTCAGTCCTGACAACGAAAATCCATGGAGAGGAGCAAGAGGAAATAACATTCTAATTGGAGTCACTTTATACTCGCCCTTTCAAATTAATCAGAACTGGGAGATAAAGAGAAATAGTTCCTTGTCCCCCTAATGTCCAAACCTGTCTACCTTCTAACTGGACAGGAACTTACATTCTTTCCTTTGTTACCTGACAGTTTAGGGATTTTTTTCCCCTAAGTGTTTTTATTTTATTGGCTGTTGCTATTATAGATGAAATGACAATCTTGACTTTTTTCTTATACGCCATATAAGGGCTCTTCCTGGTCCTAGCCATTTCCCTCCATCCTTTGCGCTGCTGCAGCCTGGCTGCCCTCACACACAGCTGCTCTCCCTGCAGGGGCGCACTGTGACTGCTCACTGTGCCCCTGGGATCTGATGTTGTTGACTTTGATTTACAAGACCCCCTTCTCTCATGTCCCCTTTCCTCTCTTTGAGTATCTTCTTCCTTACTCCCAGCTCTTTCCTGGCTTGTTGTTTTTATTATTCCTTCAGAGATTTTGTCTTCTGCTAAGCAGTCCTCTCTGACTCCTTTTCTATCCAGTGACATTGTTTAGCACTACTACAGCTCTCCCAAAAAACAATGAGCATCAACACTTCGGAGTGCAAAATTCCTTGAAAAGTAGGCTCTGTTCTTGTTTTGATTTGCCAAATTCAAGCCAGGCCCTTCAGTGTGTGCACTGGTTCAGTCCTTGCTGAATTGAGACAACTTCCTGTCCCTTCTGATTTGTTGTACCTTTCCCAGGGCTGGCTGTCTCTTCTCCAGCAATCAAAAGGTGAAGATGGATGACTCAGGACTAAGTCATGAGAGAAGACCTGGCAAACCCTGACATCATGTTCTATTGTTGGTTTGCACAGACTCACTTGAGGAGGCTTAAATAAAATGTAGATTTCTAGTTAGGACACCAGATATTATCCTGGCACTGAGGATTCAAGGCCAGCCTGGCCTATATTGTGAGACCTTGTCTCAAAACAAAATCACAGAAAGCAGTATCCCTAAGCACAGGCCTCACAGACTGATGGTTTGAGGAAAGCCCAGGAGGTAGCTGCTTTTTTTATTTTTGTGGTGCCAGTTGTAGGGCTTGAACTCAGAGCCTAGGCGCTGTCCCTGTGCTTTTATTGCTTAAGGTTAGTGCACTACCACTTGAAAAACAGTACCACTTCCACCATTTTTTGGTAGTTAATTGAAGATAAGAGTCTCATTGGGTTTTCTGCCTGGGCTGGCTGGAACTTTGATCCTGAGATCTCAGCCTCCTGAGTAGCTGGGATGATAGGCGTGAACCACAGTCACCCTGCAGTTATCTGCATTTTTTAAATCGGTTGTGGGGCTTGAACTCTGGACCTGGGTGCTATCCTTCAGCTCTTCAGCTCAAGGACAGTTAAGAGTTTTGTTGACTTTCCTGCCCAGGGTGGCTTTGAACCTAGATCCTCAGATCTCAGCCTCCTGAGTAGTGAGGATTACAGGCATGAGCTGCCAACACCTGGAGGTATCTGCATTTTTATAAAGCATCTTAAGTGTTTACAATGGAAGAGTGTCCCCAAGGAAGCATGACGAGAGGCCAGCTCTGGACACTTACCTTTCTCCATCTGAGGAAGGCCATCAGTCCTAGCACTCCAATTTTGAATGTAGCAGTGAACATCACAACCCCAACAAAGGCTCCCAGACTCAGGGGCTGAGACTCTGAGACTGTGAAGCCAGCTGAGGTAACTTCAGAGGCTACACTGGTGCTTCTCTCAGTGATGGTCTTGATGGCTGGGGAAAAATCAGAAGGCAGCAGATGTAGAGTGGGACTATGTGAGTGACATGTCAGATCTTGTTTCTTTGTTTTGTTTTTGTTTTTGTTGGTCATGGAGCTTGAACTCTGGGCCTGGGCGCTGTCCCTGAGCTCTTCAGCTCAAGGTGAGCGCTCTACCATTTGAGCCACAGCACCACTTCCAGTTTCCCAGTGGTTAATTAGAGGTGAGTCTCAGAGACTTTTGTGTATGGATTGGCTTTGAACCCCAATCCTCAGAGCTCAGCCTCTTGAGTAGCTAGGATTACAGGTGTGAGCCACCAGTGCCTGGCTCAGATCTTGTCTTATTCAGAGGAAAACAGAGATGAGAGCATTTCTCAGAGATCCATTCAGAGAGGAAGAGGGGGGAGCTTAGAATCCAGATGAACAGGGCTGGGGTAAAGGGATGCTGCCTAAGCAAGTTCCAGGCCTAGAGTTCAACCCAGTATCTCCAAAATAAACACAAGTTTAAATCCTGACTCTGTATCATTTTTCAATAGTGAATAAAAAGTCACTTCACTACTGATAAATAAATCACAGGAATAGAACATTATTTTTTGACATAAATCTATGGAACATAAAACATATTATTTAACTGTCTTGCAAGGGTGAATTTTGGTGGCACTGAGTACACTCATGTTGCTGTGTAGCCATTACTGACTCTCCAATGCTGAAACTTTCTCTGTACCCACTAAACTACTCCTTTTGTTCATGCTTATTAGAAATTAATTATTAAAAAAACAAAAACTGAGTGCTGGTAGCTCATGCCTGTAATCCTAGCTATCTAGAAGGCTGAAATTTGAGGATCATAGTCTGTGGCCAACCTGGGAAGGAAAGTCTGTGAGACTCTTATCACCAGTTAACCAGGAAAAAGCTGAAAGTGTGCTTGTGTCTCTGGTGGTAGAGCAGCAGCCTGAAGAGAAAAAGCTAAGGGACAGGCCCTGAGTTCAAGCCACAGGACTGGCGCACAAAAAAAAAGGAAAAAGGAAATAGATAAATAAATTACCTGTAACAAAACACTACTCTGTGCCCCATAATTATGCATACATAACTGTTGATTAGAAATAAGATGAAAGGCTAAAAAGAATTAATAAAGGCATAACTCATTGGAGAACTAAGAAATTTTTTGAAAATATGCTTTTCTTGTTGTTATTAAGGGGCTGCCATTTCATAAGGCAGTTCTGAGTACAGTTCCTTTTGGACAGTGTCACCTCTTCCCTCACATTCCCTGTTTCCCCCTCCTAGCCCTGCTCACAAGTTGCATAGTTCAATTTCCACACAGTGTCTACTGAATACCATGAGTATACATTTGAATACCATGAATACAGTTGGAGATCTAGAGGATTTTTAAATTACTTAAATATAGAATTTATATAATAACATTCCATTTAGAAAATAAAACCTAGAGTTGGGAATGTGGCTCAGTGGTAGACATGCAAAAATCCCTGGGTTTGATCCACAACATTGAAAAAAAAACTGTATATGAGTACTGTATTTAAATAAATGAATGACTATAATACATAATAAAACGAAAACCAGAGTGATACTGATTTATTAAAAATCCTGGAATATGACTAAAGAATAGTTTAAATTCATAGTCTTTGAACTTCAGCCCTCAGATCTCAGCCTCCTGAGTAGGAAGGCTGAAAGATATGAGCCAGTGGCAATAGCCTAGTTAAATATTTGCGCTCTCTCTGTCTCTCTCTCTGTCTCTATCTCTGTCTCCCTGTCTCTCTCTTTGTGTGTGTGTGTGTGTGTGTGTGTGTGTGTGTGTGTGGCCTTGCAATCTCACTTGCATTTTTGCTCAGGGCTAGTGGTCTATCACTTGAACAATACTCTCCTAGTTTTCCACTGCTTAATTGACGACATGATTCTTCTGACCAAAACATTGCTCTCTGTACAGAATGAACTGCCTACTGTTGTTGTAGCATGCTGGTGTAAGAGAGTGAGGGTAATTAATGTATGCACAGTGCTAGGCCAGTGGGGTTCACCCTGCAAGTGCACCAGCAGTACAAACAAGTGCAGCATGGGCGTTAAGAGACACTGTGATGAGAAGAGCATGTGGGCTTGTGTGGGAGAATGGGGCTGGTGAGGGGTGGGAGAAGAGAAGAATGGAAGGGAGAGGAAGCCCTGGACAGAGAGGGGTGAGAGAGGTGTTTTGGGGAGGGAAGGGGGAGATTGAAGGTAAGGGTGCAGGAGATGGTGTGGGGTTACAGCAGGCCTAGAAAACAAGGAGACCATCCATCAGACACTTGCTGTGCATTCTGGGCTGAGCTCAGGGCTGTGGGAAGAGCAAGACTGGATGCAGATACCACAAAAGGAAGGCAGGACAGGTCATAGGGAAGTCAAATTAACAAGAAAGTTAGGAAACAGGCAGGCCTGGAGTGCTAGTGTTAAGTTAGAACTTGGACAGTTGTGGCAGGCCTGAGGCCCAGAGCATGGGATTGGGAGGAACCTCAGAGGCCACTGGGAGGCAAAGAGGAGGGGAAGCAGCATCTGTTTGGGGATGGTAATTGGTAAAAAGAAATAAGGAGTGACAATGGCAGGGCCCTGAGAAGAGGTCAGAGGTCAGGGAGAAGAAAGAAGATTTGAAGTGTGAGGACTGAGGGGATGTGGAGCTGGGGAAGGGGGCTCACCTTCAGTGATGGTGAGGTTGGTCCCTTCGGTGGACTGCCACTGCTGCTCACCCATTTCCTTTGTCTTCAGATGGATGCGGCAGAAGTACGTGGTCTCGTCCTCCTTCCGAAGGTTCAAAATGGACAGGGAGCCTGAGGTCCTGTCCTTTGTGAAGTTCAGGACCAGCCGGTCCTTGAAATGCTTATGGATGAAAGGTGGGGTCGTGTTGTAGATGAACTCCCCGTAGAACCACACCCATCTCCAAAACAGCTTCACCTCGGGATCCCGGGCCAACTTCCAGGGATGGAAGAAGCTGAAGGGGATTTCGATGGAGCCTCCCACAATGGCAGAGAGGTGTTTCGGCTGCTTCATCCCAAAGTTTCCGTCTGTGAGGAAGGGGAAGGAATGTGAAGCAAGGCCCTGCCAGAGGGGAGGCAGAGACGAACCCCAGATGCTCCTGCCCCTGCATTCCCAGGGTTTGGTGGGACAGATGGCAGGGTTGACCCTCTCCAGGCTTGGGAGAGGAAAGTGGGTGAAGGGTTGGTCCTGGCCACCTCCTCCCACACAGCCCTCTGCACATGCCCAGCCCCCAGGCTCCCCGTGGCTTGATGGTTGTGGCCACTCACCAGCTGTCAGGACTCCTGCAGGCAGTAGCAGCAGTGCCACCAGTACCCACCTCATGGCTGGTCTCCTCTGGGGAGGAGGCCTGCTGAGTGCCACAGCCGGAAAGGAGGCCCTGACAGAGCCCTGGGGGCTTGCACAAGT